TGTCCATCTTTATCTATTATGCTGGCTTTTGCCTTAAAGTTTATTTTATCCGAGATTAGCACTGCCACTCCTGTTCGCTTTTTATTGCGGTTAGCTTGGTATATTTTTTCCCATCTTTCACTTTTAATCTGTTTCTGTCTCTGTGTGTGAGATGCATCTCTTACAGACAGCATATTGAAGGATCTTGTTTTCTTTATCCATTCTACCACCCTCCGTCTCTTAACAGGTGCATTCAAACCATTTACGTTCAGTGTAATTATCAATAGGTATTGATTATTTGTTGTTATTATATTAGTTTTTTTCTGTGGTGTTGCTGTTTCTTTGTTCTGTTTGTCTTTCTCTGTTGAATTCATGATTTGTGTGCTCTTTCTTGTGCGTTTCCTTATAGTTTTAATGTTTTCATATTCTTCTTGGATTCTCATTCTCTTGGTATGCTGTGAGGTGTTAATTTTCTTTGTTGCCTTATGGTCCATTGAATTCTCTGTCCATTTAGTGCAGTCTATTTTATCCTGTAATCTACCTGACCTTCTCATTGTCTGGATCTCTGTTCCTCCGTGGTCACCTTCTTTTGCATTGTACTTGTTTTGGTCATAACAGCATAGTATTTTCAAGGTTCATCCATGTTGTTGATTAAGCAGTACTTCGTTAATGTTTATTGTTGCATAATATCCTACCGTAGGTGTTGGCTGTGTTTTATGAATCCTCTCATCAGTTGATGGAAGTGGCATACATCAGTCACTTCCGTTCGTATTCCACTGTCCAGCACTCAGGACTCGCTCACAGCCTAAGTTGAACTATATATACTTTTAGGATACGTTCGTGTGCAAGTTTTTGTATGGACACAAAAACTTTTCATGTCTCTTGAGTATATACACCTAGGAGTAGAATTGCTGGGCACATGGTGACTCTGAGTTTAGCCTTTGAGGAATGCACAGTTCTGCCATTAGATATTCCCACCATCAGCATATAAGAATTCCCATTTCTCCACATCCTCACCAACACTTATTATCTGTCCCTTTTGATGATGACCATCCTATCATCATGGTTATGAAGTGGTGCAACTGTCAGTTCTCATTCGCAAATCCCAGTCTCCATAAGGCTTCTGGGAAATGGAATAGAAACTCTTCCTCACTCAAGAGTCAGGAGCTCTTCCTCTGTATAAGGGGGCTTCCAAAATTACCTGGAAACACTGTACAAGGGGGCTTCCAAAATTACCTGGAAACATTAGAATACCTTTTAATGCCATTTTGAAGCCCTTCATATATTCCTGAGAGAAATTAGTGTCTGCAGCCATCCACTAATAGTGGAATATACTTAAACCAGATTAAGCCCATGCGTGGTGAGCTGGAACCCAGTAGCAATACTTTATTTACTCTCATATATTCATGGTGCTAGTATAGTGGGTTAAGGAGCTCTGGTAGCGTAGTGGTTACGAATCGGGCTGTGAACCTTAAGGTCAGCGGTTCGAAACTACCAGCTGCTCCGCGGGAGAAAGATGAGGCTTTCTACTCCCGTAAAGATTTACACCCTCGGAAACCCTGTACAGGGTCGCTATGGGTTGGAACCGACTCGACGGCACTTAACAACAACAACAACAACAGTATAGTGGGTTACATGTTGGGCTGCCAACTGCAAAGTCAGCAGTTCGAGTCCACCAGCCCCGCCATGGGAGACAAAGGAGGTGTTCTGCTCCTGTAAAGATTTGCAGCCTTGGAAACCCTATGCAGGGTCACTATGAATTGGGACCGACTTGACACTGTGCAACAGCATAGTGGGCATGTATTTTATAATTAGAAAAACATTAAGAAGAGAAAATTGAGAGGAACAGGTAGAACTGACTAATGTAGAAGAATCTCATGGTTCTGACTGTCTCATCAGTTTTGTTTACATCAGGCAGTAATAATCTTTGACTAAATATTAATTTACCTTGTGGGAACTTTTGTAGGAGAACTGGACCCAAGTAAATGGAATTTTTTTTCATTTTCATTTTTGGTCTTTTTGCTCTTCAGAAGATGACAGACATTAGATAACAAGGATCCCAAACTGAAATGTTTTGATGGTTCATTTAATATTCATGTAGAGACTTTTTGTTTGTTTGTTTTTAATTGTTATACCTAGTAATAAAATGTATGTTAAAAAAAAAAAAAAAAAACCTCACAAAAGACATGCAATTTTCTTTAGTTCTGTTGTGATAAGATTAGTAACTTGTTATGCCCAAGTGATGTTTTTACAGGGGAGCTTTTTACTATATGTAAGAGACAGACTGAACTATGGGTTACTAAAGCAGTGGTAATTTACCTGGGAAAGCTGTTGGACTTCAGTTATGAACTAGGGCTCATATTGACATCTTCCTGCGTAAATGACATCTAAGCTTGTTACTGTGTGACTGAATGTGGCCTAAACTCTGCATTGTCTATGCACTAATTTCTTAATCCATCCAGATTTCCAGTTCCCATTCACAATCACACTACGGTGTACAACATAAGTGTTTTATGAATGATCAGTTTGTTGCTGTTTTATATAATGATTTCATGTTGTTGTTGTTTTACCCTCTTTGAATTTCTTAACAGAAGTCCCGGAGGGGATTTGGGAGCCAAAAAAAAAAAGAAGAAACAAAAGAGAAAAAAGGAGAAACCGAATTCTGGAGGCACCAAGTCAGATTCTGCATCGGATTCCCAGGAAATTAAAATCCAGCAGCCTTCAAAAGTGAGAGCCTTGCTGTATTTTAACCTCTGTGGTTGTTCATGCATGTGAAAGAGGGTTTATGCAGCTTAACACTCAAGTTGAATCAGATGTGCAGTTAGGGTTTCTGTTGTGACTGCGTGTTGGATGGCACTAGTAAATGGAGCCTGTTTACAAACTTCCTAAAACTGCCTTCGGCACCCAAATAACTAGAAGGTACACGTTGTGCTTTTGTGTGTATGTGGATATCTCCCATGTTTCTCCCTTTTCTCAAGTCAATTAGTACTTAGGTTGTAGCTATAGGAGAAAGTCTCCTACTGTGAGCGTATTAGGGTGTGTTTTTTGTTTGTTTCTTTTAAGTTACACTTAATATTTGATGACTTTTAGTTCGGAAGATATTCACATTTTAATTTTTCTGGGTGTCTGTCTAATTACTTGAATAGCACAACACCATCTGGCAGCAGATTTCATCGGGAACAGCCATGGGTAAGTCTTCTGTTGGCTTTGCATCAGGCCAGTTCTCAGTGGCCATTTTTCATTATATTGCGAAGGGTGGGACTTTCATCCTCACATTCTCCCTGCAGAAAATCCCATTTTAGACCAAAGTAGCAGTTGTCCGGCTGGGCTCTGTGTTGGCAGAATGCCGGAAGGTAAAGTGTTGGTGTGTCCTGTGGGCATCTGGTAGTATATCCACTGCTTTGTGGGGCTAATCCTCAGTCACCCCTGGCCATGAACCCAGCCCTCATGTGCTGGGAAGTACAGAGCCCTTTCGATGCAAGAGTTCATGGGGGACAAGGGTAGAATCATAATTACAACAAAATAGAGATTGTTTTGATAATTGGTTGTAGCTCAGAATAAGTTATCCTGGGATAGTATGTGGTGTACAGGAAGTGACCCAGGAGGTAGAAACCTTGGGTTTAGTCCTGGCTCCCTTACTCACAAGCTTTGTGCCTTTGCTCAAGTTACCCTCATCAGACCATTTCCGTATTTATAAAACGGGGGTGATAGCCTCTGCCCAACTCACTGGGTTGTTAATGAGGCTAAAATAAGATAACTTTTATGAAATGCTTTTTTAGATTGTAGAGAACAATGTGTGTGGCACAGTGACTAAGAGCTAAGCTGCTAACCAAAGGTTAGTTAGCAGCTCAAACCCACCAGCTGCTCTGTGGGAGAAAGGTGTGCCAATCTGCTTTCCTAAAGGCTACAGCTTTGGCAAACACTATGGGGCAGTTCAGCTGTGTCTTGAAGGGTCACTACGTGTCGGCCCTGATGAGTTGGCAGTGGATTTAAGGCATTGTGTGTGTATATGGTAGTTACAGCCAGTAGGCAAGTTTTGTGGAGTTTTAACATCTTTCTTTTGTATAAAAGTGTAGACTGTATCCCATGAGGTGAGTCTTGGCAGGTATTTTTTCTACTACTTATGGAGTCTCTGAGAAATAAAATGACTTATCCCAGTTTTTCCCTAACTGACTTTTGTGGTGTGAAGAGAAAATAGAACCTTCCTCTCTAGCTGTTTAATTTGGTTCTCATATAGTGAATGTTCTACCCACGAGACGTAATTTCCCAGGTAACTCATAATTAAAAGGATGCCACTGTAAGCTTGCAAAATATTTCCCTCATTTCTGAACCTTGCTTCATCAGATAAGTGTGGTGTTGTTGGCATCTCCTTATTGCTTGCACCATCCCCATCAGCTTCTACCCATCCTCTGTACCGCTGGTGATTCCAACCCTATCCCCACCTCTGGTCACTTGGAAGAAACTAGAGTTAATCAAGGCACAAGGAAATGTTAACATTATTCAGTAGAGAATTTCTTTTTTTCTTTTTCTGCTAGTTAAAAGTAAGTCAAAATTGCTTCAGTGTAGTCTTTTGCCATTGGATTTTTAAAAGCAGAGGCCCCTTACCCTCAAGCTGATGACCACTGTAGGTAATACCATAAAGTAGAGTGGACTGTGTTTGGGGAGCATTCTGGGCAGCACTCAACAACCAAATAGCAATGATATTTGATTGTGGACTCTTCCGTACTTAGTGGGTGGTAGAGGGCTTGCACGTCTTTTTTCCATAATGGTAAATTTGGAAAATATTGGGTAAAGAGTGCAGGTAATGTTTAGTGTTCCATAGAGTGCAAATGCGAAGAACGAGAGCACTTACTCTCCCTCAGGAATATAATCGTGGGAAGTTAATTTGGGGTTGGTACACATTCTCACCTTTCCTAACATGAATCCATTTCTCCCCAGGTGGTGCAACTACGGAAGGTGAATGGATATAGGTTTAAGAATTTATGTAGATGAGTTTTCCTTACTGGCACTGTGGATTTGAAAATTGTGCTTAGTTCAATCTGCTTAAAGGAAGTATTTAAATAGTAGGCATTGGGATACAACTATTTCATGAATGGCCATGTCATGTAGACAGTGTTGGTTGACTTGATGAAGCTAGGGATAGGTGGTGTAAACCACGCTGAGGTTTCTTCATGGAGTTAGGATATCATGAGAGATGCTAATTCATATGTGTTTGAGTTTGACAAATTGCTGTCCTTAGGTGGCACAAACAGTTTGTGATTGACTACAACCTAAAGATAGGCAGTTCAAACCCAGCCAGCAGCTCTACAAAAGAAAAGACTGGCAGTCTGCTTCCTTAAATATCACAGACAAGAGAACCCTATAGCAGTACTACTCTCTAATGCACGCATTGCCTTCAGTTGGAATTGACTCACTGACAAAATTTAACTAAAGGATTTAATTAATTGACTCAGGATTTAACTAAAATACTGAGAATGAAAAATCGAGTATAGACACTATTGATATAGTTTGGTAAGACTGGGTTTTTGCTGATACATGTTTAAATATTACTAGTTGATAATGCTAAGATTAAAATCTCAGTTTAAGTTGTAGATTGTATTCTTAGGGTTAAAATATGACTGTTGTTCTACTAGAAATCAGTTGGAGGTTCACAAGAGACCCAAACATGCAAAATTAGCCATTAATCCAATACATTGGGATATTAGAACTATTTTGTTAAATTTGTTGTTGTTAGTACCGACTCATAGCGACCTTATGCACAATGGAACAGAACACTGCCCGGTCATGCGTCAACCTCATAATTGTTGGTACTCTTGAGCCCATTGATGCTGCCACTGTGCCGTTCCATCTTGTTAGGGGTCTTCCTCTTTGTCTCCTGTCCTCCACTCTACCAAGCATGATGTCCCTCTCCCAGTACTGGTCCCTCCTGATAATATGTCCAAATTATGAGACATGAAGTCTGGCCATCTTGGCTTCCAAGGAACATTCGGGCTGTACTTTTTCCGACACAGATTGATTTGTTCTTTTGGCATTCCATGGTACTTTCAATATTCTCTTCTAACACCATAACTCAAATGCATCAATACTTCTACAATCTTCTGTATTCACTGTCCAACTTTCACATGCATATGAGGTTATTAAAAATACCATGGCTTGTGTCAGGCGCACTTTGGTCTTCAAACTGACATCTTTGCTGTTGAATACTTTAAAGAGGGCTTGTGCAGCAGATTTGCCTAATGCAATACGTTTCATTTCTTGATTGCTGCTTTCATGACCATTGACGGTTGAGCCGAGCAAAATGAAGTCTTTGGCAACTTTAATCTTTTTCTCCGTTTATTGTTGTTGTTGTTGTTGTCAGGTGCCATCGAGTCGGAACCGACTCATAGCGACTCCATGCACAGCAGAACGAAACAATGTTCGAT